AACTTTTCATTAACTAATTTATTTATTTATTTAATAGGTTCAAGATAAAAAATTGGGTTTGACAAAAGTTACCCCCTAAATAATGTAAAACAATCTCTTATTTTTATTGCCACATATTAATAACACATGTTTGTGTTTCAATAAAATAGCATACTTATTTATCCTATTCGAGATTAGGATTAAGATTCCTCAAACTCATGACATTATATAGTACAGGACAGACATCTTTAATTGTTTGGAGTACATACTTAGTTGGTAAATTAACAGTTTTCGTATTTGTAACTTCAGTATTCTAAATCAAACAACTCCAATATTGACAACATAACTTCCTTTGATTTTTTTATTATAAGAAATTTCTTTTAGAAAGGTGTATTGTTGTGTAATAATTTTATTGCATTTGATTTAAAATTATACTTACATATTTTATGTCATCACATATTAATTTACTTATTTGATCAGGTGTATGCATTTTAGTATGACATACGGTTCTCTAGTATTTTCATATATCTTATTTTTTTTTTCTAAAAAGCACATAAAACAATCATTTTGCGGTATCGCTTTTGTTTTCATAAATAAGATTTAGGTAGTTCCACTAGCGTTTTATTTAAATGGCGGTGTTTCAAACTAAATTGTCGAATACATCGTTGTTTTGTTGATATTTCGGAGTAGCTTACACTATTTACGATCTGACTGACTATTATTAGAGTATGATGTCATTCGTGGGTTGGCAGTAGGTAAGGACCTATATGTTTCTATGTGCTCATGTCAATGACAGCTATATAGTTTTCTTATTAACTTTTTTGTATTTTTTTCTATTCTGTTTAAGCAAAAAGTATAAAGATTACTAGTAAAAAGAAATGTATATCAGAATACTTAAATATATTTTGCTGTTAAAGGTTACTAATAATTAACATAAAATATGACAAATCTTAATAGACAACTCATTTAAATTACTTTTCATAACAACTAAAATAATACCCGACGTAGAAAAAAACATAAATGAATTACAAGTAGAAGTTTTAACATAATTTAAATCTATACAAATAAATATATAACGAGCTTCTGGTAATATTTAAATAACCGCTTTTTACTGTTCTTACGCATATCTACATACACATACACATATTATACGTTTGGTTTTTTTTTTTTACAATATTTGTCTGTCCGTCTGTTTGTTCTGGCTTATCTCTGAAACCTCTTACTAAAGATAAAAAACAACACTTATTGACAGACACTTTCATTTCGTCTGTCCGTCAACACAGTTGCTGTAAAATAATCGTATTTTCGAGTAAAATATGTATAATATTATAGTATCTCAATATATAGAGTAGATAATATATCCGAGAACCATAGTTTTATTTAGAAGTATATTTGCGAAAATCTTAGACATTGCTACATAATTTTTATTTGTATTTAATTCATTTAATTTTGCAGCAAATTGTTCTGAAAATTTTGAAAAACGTAAATTATACTACTACATATTCGTAATTTACTTTAAAAGTAATAATCTGATTAACTTTATACTACATATGTTTAGGTACTCGCTATTTTTTTTGTTTTCAGAACTATCGTTAAGATTTTCATCTCTCAGGACGTAACGTCATTCTAAAATGCGTACAGGACAAAAATTTAACTATGTTAATTAACAACATATTCTAATTTGTTCCTGTTTGAAGCCTATTCTTCATTTTGAATATTTTAAGACAATTTAAACTCTGTCTTAAAAAAAAGTGATAAGGCAGGCAGGCACGAAGCAAAACGCCTGGTGCGTTTTTCTTCGTGCGAGAATTAAAAATCGTTATTATATTTTTCTTTCCGCTTTCGGTAAATATTATATAACTTTTAATCTTTGCTGTTTTGGAATGAAAACTTAACGTATGCTTAACTTCCTCAATATCAGGGTCTACCAACGTCTCTTGCAACAAATTTTCGCATTTTTGTCGTTGTACAAAATCTTTTAAGAACATTTATTTTTTGGGATTGTATCTTAATATAATTAATATAGCAAAAATATATTATTTGCATAATATTAAATCGTCCATTATTGTAAATTATGGGTTGTGTAAACGTGTCCGTTAAAATGAAAGACCGACAATAATACGGTGTCTTGGAACAATGCAAACGTTCAATTCTATACGCTTATTATAACACGCTTAAGATTCCAGATAAACGTTATATAAAAATGTATATTTGCAGTTAAGTTACTCAAAATGTGATACGATTATAACTATTGCCATTTATTGATAAAACACCACAGATTGTGTACGATTTATGTCAGATCGGATAGTCATAGTAAAAAATACTTTCAAATTATTAAATGCACCCATGAATCATGTGTCGTATTTACCAAAGAATCTGAGCATTATGTGGCAGAATAAAAAAATCTTATAAACCGATGTAGTGAAGGTATAAATCAATATAAAAAAAATGTTTATATATCCTGTGAATCTTTTATTCTGGATGACAAGTTATACTGTATTTTTGTATTTATTTCTCTATACAATATGTTGATAATCTTAGTGTTGAGGGGAATCGTTGTGCTAAAAGACAGTTTTAACTTTTATTAACCTAAAGTTTTTTGTAAATATAGGTATATTTATATTTCATTATTAATTTACATACTTATAAAATAGTAAATAATGATTTATTGAATTTATCTTCTTACTAAAATAGACTGGTGAAATCTAAAACTGTTTTATTAATCTTATGACTTGAATATATTAGCTGCTGATAAAATCTTTCGCAAGCTTTCGGATTGTGTATTAAGTGTATCTTAGAAAGATATAAAGTTAACAATATTTTGGAATACTGTTAAAACATGTCACAGACTATGTTTAAAGTTATAAGCGGGTGTTTCGGTTAAAAATATCTTTTTTCCAGTGGCCCATTTTATTTAGTCTTAGTTGTAAGGTAATTTAAGATCACTTTTAATATTGTTTTACGAACTATTGGATGGATTTCGTTGTGAATTATATAAAATTCGGAAATATTTAGGCAAAAACAAACATATTAGTAACAACACTGTTTGGGCAATGATATATAAGTAATTATCTCACTGTAACTACTTTTTTCTTATGAAAAGGTTTCGTAATACACTAAATAACTCGTTGCCAAATATTTTCAATTAATTAACAATATCTTCTAACCGATATTTTTGCTTTTAAGTTTCAACATTGTTTTTCTACTACTGAATCTAAAGTTATGATTTCCACTACCTGTGGTCTATTGGCGTCCATTTCTTAGTTTAGTAACATTGCTTCCATAGGGACTATAAAGCAAGTTAAAATATATCTTTTATATAAAAAAATGTTAGTTATTTTTATGATTGTTTATAAAATAAATATGAATAATATCAAAGAGAAATTAGAGGAACTAGTTATTTTTTTTAAATATATGTATTGTCTTATCAAGTTCCTGTAGAACACCACAGAGTCTTGATTATACTTAACAGAGTAATTTATTTCTTTTCCGTATAATGAGTATTCTAGTCAATCTACGTATAAAGAACATATCAGTAGATATTATTGTAAAAATTAGCTTACGCCTTAGATTATTGTTATAATTCTAACTGTTCTGTCAAGTATCCACAACTATATTTGTATCAGCTTTTCCTGTTTATGTATCTTCTATGTAAAAATCTTTCATAAACCAAAAATATGGCAGACTATAACTATATTATTACTATGTGAAACTATTAAATTTAATTATATATTATTACCAATCGCTATTTACATTATTTAAGTAAACTCGCGTGAATTATTTTCAATTAATGGACTCTTTTTTGTCCATTATTTATATGGTTATCGATAAATTTAACGGTTAATAATTTGAGTTTAATTGTAAATAATACAATTAGTAGTTTAAAGATTTTTTGGGTCAATCATTATATGTATTATCATGTTGTGTTGGATAAGGATTCTTATCATTAAAATTATAGTCAAAATTATCTCTTTTTTTTTGTTCTTAGTAAACTAGTAACATATTTTAGTGAACTTTTACTTCTAAGTCTTAAAGCAATAAATACATTTTCTTCTAAAAGGCCTGTCCTCATATTATTATGATACTCTTTTTTATTTGATTACCTTCAGATTACTTTTTTTAAACAAAATAAAACATTGTGAGCTTATATTCAACTTTGTACATAAATTTTATTTATTAATAATTATTGCAATGACCGTTTTAATAATTATTTATGCCAGTTGTTATCTCGTGAACATCGAAGTACCCTCCAGTCCTACATAACAAACCTGATAACAGATTAATATTGTTTAGACTTTAGTTAATTGCAATATGTTATTCATACTACTTTTAGTTACCCTTCGATCGTATGTTTTGTAATCTTCGGGTCACGTTTGTTGGTCGCGTGATGTCACTACGACCTCTAGCGATACAAAATATTGTCTGAAAACATATCAATAGTATTAAGATTATATAACCATGATAATCCAGTCTGAAGACATTCCTGGGAAAGAAGTCGGCTTAAAAATTAAAACGTAATCAATTAATTTTTGGTAGAAGATACAGTTTTATCGTTAGTCTATAAATAATGTTCAATCATGTTCAATAGGTATAATATAACACATAAATGAACGATTTTGGTTATTTGATTTAATGTTAAATGTAAAAAATTTTTACACGCTGCAATTATATAAAAACATTATATAAGTCACTCATTCATTTAATGAGAAAATAACTATAAAAAACAAGTAGTTAATGGAGTTTATAATTCAAATTGTTACCAATTATAGAAAATAATTGATAATTGTTGTATGAATTACTGAGTAATTACATGTTTTTTTTTTTCAGATTCATGAAATGTTTCTGGGGACATATTTTTGGTACGATTACATTGATATGTCATATGTGCGGTGACGTGAATAACTGTTGTTGTTATGAGATCACCTAATTCGTTTTGTATAGGAAAATCTAACATGTGACTTTATGTGATATAGTTTTGTACTTAAAAATTAGTTTAAAGTTATAAAACGTCGGTTTGCTCAATGGATTCCAAGAGGAAGAAGAGAACATCTAAAAATGATAAGAAGAACAAAATTGAAAACGATAACGCAAATATGAATACAAAAGATGAATGTGAGAATGCTAACATGGAACCGAATGGAAGCGATTCGGGGAGTTCCACTGATAGTGAAGATTTGGTTAATGCTATGAATTATAACACAATAACATCACTGGCTGCCTTGAAAGATATATTACAGGGTGACAACAATGACACACCAGAGACTGATAGTTTCTTTCAACACTATTTTATGAATCACTGTAATAATTTGTCAAGTCACAATGCGAACTCGCCGACATCGTTTCCTTATTCTGAAAGACGGAGGTTATCACAATGTAGAGAGGAAGACGAAGATGATGAAAAGAAAGATTTTCACCACCACTATCCTAATGGGTCCCCGGGCACAAAATCCGAAAAGACCTCGCAAACTAGTAACTCCGCCTCATCCAAAGATCACGATATGAGCATTGACAACTATTTACAAAAAGAAACATCTGAGGAACAATCACTTTCTGACAATAAAGATGATGTTTCAGAGATCGATCCTTCGAAGCGTATGGTCATGGGAGCAAAGCACAAATTTTTAGTTACTAAGGCTGAGCAGGTGCCACAAAATATTTTTGAGCGTGCCCTGCGTACTAAAGTTAACAACTCTCACACCGTACATTTCGGCACAAAGGGTGCGGAGGAACAGAGGCCAAGCGTACGCGCAATATTTACAGGACAGAATCTCCATCGTGATAAAAAATATTTTGACAGTAGCTTAATTGAAATTAGATCGACAGTTGATGAAACATTAACCAGCTCCGAAGACATTTGGGTAAAAAGAAGTGACGACAAAAAAGTAAGTAATATAAATAAAGAAAACTTTATTTCAAATTCAGGTTGATCCACAAATTATCAAAAATCATTATTTTAGGTTAATAAAGACGAACCATCTGAAGCGCTATCTGCTACTAAAAAAGATGTTAAAGATAGTTCGGATAGCGATCATAAGATTGAGCGTGAAAGATCAGGGACTTGGGGCTCACAATCACAACCACCGCCAAAAGTTAAAGAGGTATCAAAAAAGATCGCCAAGGATAAAGAAGTTCGACGATATAGCGATGAGAGAAGACAAAAACGAGGTAATTTTTTATTTCATACCTTCCATTTTCCTATTCTATTAACTCTTGCAACAACTGAAGGCCCTAGTTTTAATAATGACTTATTGCTATTAAGGTTCATGCAACATTGGCCTACTATTTGTCATAAATAACCATAATCTCCTAATAATTGTGAGAAAATTTCAATGTTTTACTATGAAAATACCTTTAAAAAATGGTAATAAAATTTCCTAATATACGTTGCTATGTGTACCAAAAGTATCAGATCTTAAACTTGTCTTGTTAAACTTGACGATTTGCGATTTAGATGCATAATGCATAGCGTTCCTGTGCATAAATAAACAGTATAACCATTACATCACCAGCGGTGGATTTATTTTGGTATTCGCTTTATTGATGCTTCGTCAGTTTCAGTATACAATTATAAATTATTATATAGTAAATTGTGACATTAAAATTCATTTGTTTTACCGTTATAAGTATTTTATAATTAAAGTTTTCTTCGAGTATTTGCTGTTATCTATTTGATATGGTTACATAATATTTGACATGATTATTCCACACGAGCATTTTGTGCATATTCACAGCAATGCGTATTGTAATAGATTGCTAGGAAATACATATTGATAGTTAATGTTTCATGTTGACTGAGTAGAAGCAGTTAATAATTTCGTCGAATAGTCGAACAATTCGAGAGCAGCTTTAAGTACTTGTTTATGTTCAACCATACATCATTTTTTTATTATATTGCCCTAAATACGGAACAAAATTATACTTCTAAACCCATTCTTTGATATCAAGATAAATCTAATATGGAAATGTTAATTGGAAGTATAATTATAATACTTATATTTACTTAAATAAAATCTTTAAACTTAAAATGATATTACATAATGTATCACAGAACAACGTCTGGATGCTGCGATTACAAGGAGCACGCAGTCTGTCGGGGAACGCAAGCGTCGAAGTTCAGCTGACGATGGTCAAGCTCACCCCATGTACCAACAGACCATACATGGTAAAATATCAAAACCCTAATAAATTTCATTTAAACCAGTTTGGTTCGACCCTTAAATACTTTAAGTTTTTTGTTACTATTTCAAAATGAATGAAGTCAATTTCATGCTATCAATATATATAAAGTTATTATCGTCAAATATAGTATTTTACTATTAATCATAATTTCTTTTTTATTGTAATAGGTTGAATCTATTGTTGCATTTGGTTAGTTCCGATTTAAATCCGTAAAATATTTTAAAAGAGTTCTTAAATATTTTGTTCCTGTTTCAAATATAATGTCTTTGGCAATGAAAAGAGTTTAGGGATTTAATTTTTTTTTCACCGGTCACACTTAAAACTTTTTAAAGGACATCGTAAAATTAAGGTAATGCAACAGGCCCTCAAAACAGTAATGAAATTATTTTCGTCTGTTAATTTAAATAAACTTTATCACGAACAGTAAAAAGGTTATAGAGTAAATTGAAGATATATGTGATTCCAACATAGTTTTACTACTTAGAGACTTTACCTAGAATCAATGCTCATATAATGAAAATAACAAAATTACAAATGTCTTTACTTCAACAATAGTATCAAATAAACAGTGCTGTGGACACGAAATTATTAATGTGGATTTTATGTTTAGTTCTATTGAAGTGTTAATAAATATATGAGCAATAATATTTCAGGAACCTCCGGGGTGAGTCGCAGGCCAGCCTTGTTCGATATGTTCAAGTCAAAGCCTCGCGGTGACGCCAAAAAACCACCGTCCATCATACAACAAGTTAAAGCGGCTGTCCAGGTAAATATTTAATATCGTTATACCAAAGATTACAATGAATTTCGTATATGTTATTTGAGAGACTATTCAAAGAAAGTGATTAAATTAAATTTTCATTTGTTATTTTTTATTATTTTTTGAATGATATTTGAAAAAAAAAATTGTTACTTATCTTAAAGATGTATAGTGTAAATTGTTTTAATTTAAATCCTTTGTCAAGGTCTTGCGAAGGAAAGTGAGTTCGTATTGTCATTTTCTTCATATTTATGTATGGTACAAACGTGTATTTATAGTTAATTAATTCATTTGATCTATTGGAGATAAATGTTTTTCCTTTAAACATCTCTATACAAGTTTCAATACATTGCACGATATAATAATAAAAAAATATGTAATACAAATGGTTTTCAAAAGATTTTATCTTAATTTTCTTATTTTGATTCTTAGCGAATCCACAGTGGAATATTTTTTTCTATGTTTAAAGTTAGGTCCTTAATTAAGGTTTAATTTATTTGTTGTCTGGATATTTATCCTAAATAAATTTTAATGTTAACAGTATTTAATGAAGAATAATATTTTCTTTACTATGTGACCCATCAGTTTATAACATCTTTTATATGGATATATAGACATTATTGACAGCTTGCCATATAACAAGACGGGTTAATAAATATAGAATATACAGCATAGTCCGCTTTGGTCAGATTCCGTTTTGAAACAATAAATGAAAATTAAAATTGTAGTAAAATATATCAGCAATTTTTTAGGATCGTTAAAAATTACGAAACTTATATTGTAGGATGAATGAAGTGGAGGAGATAGAATGTATACTTTTCATTTAAATATATAAGTTGGCAATTAATATCTCCCAAGTACGTCTTGGGACGTTTCAATTTTATATTCTTTTACACAATATAATACTTTTGATGGTATCCTTAAATTCAGAACGCTAGGTAAGATCTATTAAAAAAGGTAAAAGCTGTTTATATTATGAATGCGTCAACATTATTGAAGATAATTGTTTTGTACTCGAATAATATATGAACGTATATGAAATTTTTTGTAAAATAGGAGATAATTGTTGCTCTTATCTGTAAATCAGAACTGGATATTCTTATTGTGTATGTTATAATTATTACATAACTTGTAGAGCATGACTAAGTCAGGGCCGGCCAAAGAACCGGTAAAAGTGGAAGCCGCCAGCCCTAGTCCACTCGTCAAGACCAGAGACGGTTCCGCTCATCCACATCCTGGAAGTGACACGAGGGTAATTAATCAAATTGCAATAACACCTTCATTATTAAATAGTTAAAATATAGTATCAATTAAATGATGTACATTGATATAAAAGATATTGTTCTGCTAATAAAGATGGGTTACGCTAACGCCATTACATGTACCTACCGGTCACGATACATCACTTACGACAATCTAACGTTCCTAGAGTGATTAATAACGTTCATAATTGTTATTAGAATTCCATACGCCCTCAAATTAATGAGAGGTCAAACGAACGTTCAATATTGTTGTATGCGACGAACATGATGTATGTTATTTAGAACCGTCGAACCGATTGCCCTACATTCTGCTTATTACTACAGCTAACATTCCTTTTGTCGTCACATTTTGTAGATAAGATAAATGTTATTTACTTTTTTTTAATTTCAATGTAAACTGCTGACGTAAATATAAATCTTGATAGTTAGTTTCTGTGAACGAATATTCTCAATTTTTATTAAACACATTTTATGCTGTCATCTATATAAATAGTGATTCTTCATGTTTTCTTGATCTAGAATACCGTGACCCTAAAAGTTTCAATATCATATGCAATGTTTACATATCAAACACATATGTGATAAGTGGTATGGCTAAAATTAATTTAGCGAGTGTAAAACGAAAAAATATGTAATGTGTTACGTATTATTATTTAGAATATTGAAACTTTGAGTACTTTAAATGTGTAGTTGATATAGAACAGTAAAATCATTAGGTTCATGTTTGTAAATGCTGATTAATTATTCGTTTTATAGTACTATCATACTGTTACGGCATCAACATCGCGTCGGCCGAGCGCTATGGCCAAGGTCATGGATATATTCCGCGGACGCGCCTCCATACCGGGACAGATAGTACCACCAGATGGCGCTGAACGAAGACGAGCTGTAAGTAAACAGTTCACTAAGTACTTCGAACAATTTACACTAGATGTCGTTTAATAAGGAATTTGATATTGCAATGTAGATTACACTAAGAGTAACTATTTTTTCTTAGGAATGATTTAGTTTAGATACAAGTGACGTGTGCTTGAAAGTATATAAAATTACGAACGGCAAAATTTCTCATCATACAGCTTGTTAGACCATACAAATTATGTCATGTTTCCGTGATGACTACGTGGAATTAGGTGTAGAATGTAGATGAAAACTTCTCAGCATTCTATGAATTCAGCATGCGGGTTCTGGGTCCATCGCATTGCAGGGAGAGGAGCTTTTATAGTGACTGGTACTAGCATACCAGGTGTAGGTTTAAGGGGCCCTATCTAACAATCATTAAACACTCTCATTCACCGATGAAGCATCTCCTTCTCCTAACCAAATTTATAACGAACCTACTACAGTCGCCTTTGAAGTAGGTTATAAGAATTAATTGATGTTAGTTCTGGACAGGCTCAAGTTTAAAGTATGTTGTATAGAGATTTAGCTATTAGAGGTAGCTCGTTCCCACTCCTACCGCGTAGAAATTAACGTTAATATATCCATATCTTTCGCGTTATTACCTGATCCTAATCCTACTCTGTTACTTTGTACGCCTAACATAAACTGTTTATGGAATTTTGATGTCTTGATTCTAGCCAGAGCTAAACATATCTTCAATTCATCTGTCAACAAACAGAATTTATCTCCTTCATCCAATCCAGTACTTGATAGTGTTTGGGGTTACGTGTCAGTATTGCAGGATTGTCAACGGATTAAAACGGAATCTGGGTATTTATTATTAAACTTAACCAATATCCCTATTTTTTCTCGTTACTTATTACTTTATGTACTTAATTAATGTGGCTTAATTACAATATTAAATATTATTGGGGAATTCTTATATATATTCCTACGTATAAATTTTATTGTAAAGTTTCATATTTGTCTATTCGATCGGTTTTTCATAAAGGAGAAATAAACACATATTAGAAGGACTAGGATCATAGAATTTCATCAAAACAAGATATTAGATATATGTACTTTGAGGAGGAGGCATGATGTAGAATTTTATTTACTGCAGTGAAATAAGTCCTATTTTTTTAGGTAAGAATGAAATAAGGTAAATAATTCTCTCTTTCCGGCGTCGGGACGTGACGACCCCATCGCCCACTGGTGTATTCCGGTGCAATCAGTCACGGGGGGGAGGGCTGGGGGTACAGCCCTGGGAGTAAGACGGTCACGGATCTGGCAGGAGGCCGTCCGTGGCTGTCTTGGGGGGGAAGCGATACTCGGGTCTCTCCGGAGGCCTGAGTTCGCTTGTGGTCGGTCGGTTTCCTCTCTGTCTGCCGTCGGGCGCTTGCGCTCGTCGGTGGGTGGTTGGAGACTGGCCGCGTGGGCTTGGGTGGGAGGGGTAAGGGGTTAACCCTCTCGCGATTAAGCAAGCCCGCCAGGCGGGGGGACACTCCTGGTCACTTGGAGTGAGCCCTCGGGGGGGGGAGGTGGCCGTTCGCGGCCCGCCGCCGGATCGTCGCGGATGCATGCTTCGGCGTTTCCCGTGGCGATCCACTTGGCGGCAACGGAGAGTGACCGCTGGTGTTTTAGTGGGTAACATGGGCCCTTCTGGCCGTAAATCCCACATAACCGCCTCTGTCTCCCCTAGACGGAGGGGTAGGTATAAAACCTTTCACCGCGATAACAAAAAAAAAAAATAATAAAAAAAAAAAAAATAATTCTCTCTTTCTAACTAAATTTAAATATTTTTTATGTAAGATAATTATATAACATAAAAAAGTGTGTGATTCCGGTTTATATTGCTTAGAAAACCAAAAATGAATTTCCCTAACAATAAAATAGTGTTAAATATACTACAAATTTTTGAAAAACTTAAGTCAACTAAGTAGAATTATTAGGTTAGTAAAAGGTAGTTAGTCATGTATTTATGTAAGTAGTACAACTAGATTTTTTTATGTCAATAGCCACTTCCGACCTTTGCCTATTTCAATATCGGCGTTTTTTAATAATAGGTCATTAAAGGGACTTTTTTTAAAATATAATAGTAGATTCATATTTGCCATCAACACAAATGCAAACAATTCTTTCTTTTGAAGACTAAATATTTTTATTACTTTTAAATATAATTAATTATATTAATTTTATATATGTATGTGTTTTATATTAATATTAATTACTCTTGTTATAAGGATAAAAAAAATCTGCTTTGATAATATCAGTAATTATTATTTTTGTATGAATCATTCTTATTATTTCATTGTCAATAGTAAAAGACTTGCAAATGTCGTTTTATTCTTTTTTAATATATCTGTCTGTCTTGCTTGAATTATCCTAAACTTTGATAAAATTTCATTTAGAAAGAATATACACTAACGAGTCTGTTAGAATATAACAATCTGAAACTTGCTACATGATTTTGTTGCAAAAGAACAAAAAAATAATCTAATCTAAATGTAAATCTGATATCAAGATAGAAAAACATTGTGATTGTGTCATGTTATGGAATTTCTGTGTTTACTTTTTTGAAAAATTGTTAATGTATAAGATTATAATATAATTCATCTGCTTTTAACATATTCTCATCAACCTCAGCTATTTATATATATATTTCCTTTAGTGTTTTCAATTTTAGTAATGTTATAGAGTTCCTGAACTGTATTTTAGTATAAAATTTGGTTAGGGACCTAAAATATTCGAACCATTTGTCAAATCAATCATTCATAAAAGTTATCGTTGAGAAAATTAAAAAATTATGTCACCTATTTCTATAAACTTCGCTTTATATCACAAATAATTTCATAGAGTGCTTTCTATAAAACTTTCTCAGTATTAATTTCGTAATGGATCGTAAAATGGGCTTGTTCATTTTCATAACTATATTGACTGGTTAAAGTTTAAATTATGCAACTGTTAATTTAAATTTTAAAAATAAGTGTTCGTGTGTGGTTCTAATGAATTCGTTAAGTAAAGCTTCGATGTAATTGTTTAAAATATTCTAATTCGATCGATTAGAATAGACCCTTGATTGAAGATTCATCGCTGTAAGCCTCTTCATAATATGAAATACTATTAAAAAATACAGCATGAGCAGTCTTATATATTTCATAATATAGATATTAATCGTAAACAACACTACGAACCAAGATATAAGAATGCAACTCAAGATACTCGATAAGAACACTTGAACAACGTATTAAAATTAATAGTATTAAACATACATATGTTCCTCACTTATGATTTGTCTGAATTTTATTCAAAGATAAGTTTATCAGTATAAAAATTCCATTAAAATTTGTCAAACGTCAAATGGAGACATACATTTATATACGTTTATAGAAAACTAAATTGTACATACTAATTTAATTTTACCAAACTAACTATATCTATGTCATAAAAGTAGTTCAATATAAAACATAAATGAATACTGCCTCATATTCTTTGTCCATATTCTTTAGCTCTTCAGCTTCAAAGGAAACAATCATCTATCTGTAACACTTGTGCGGAAACTGCTTCCGCAGGAAACAAAGACCATCAAATGAAATACGTAGACACACCTTTTTATAATTTAAATATACAGGGTGACTGGTGAATTACTATCAATATTTAAGGAGAATACTCGGTACATGATTCTCATTCGAATTATGTAAAAAAAATAGGTACTTAATTTTTGACAAAATTTCCGTATAAATAAATAAAGTGTTGACACGTTCCAAGTGTTCCAAGTGTGGACGCGTGTGGCGGCGTGCTGATACAACACTACGCCGCGCGCGTATGTGTGAGTGTGTGTGTATACCTAATCTGTAGGGTGGTTACACGATGCGTAATTAATTACACAACTTTTGGTTAACTTTTCTTAGAAGTTTATTAATATTTATGTTATATTAATTTTTATTTTGTCATATATGATCGTCAAATATCACGTCCTCAAGTATCGATAGTAACTCACCAGTCACCCTGTATATGTTACTTTTTTATGTGGAAGATTCTTAATACAATCTCGATTAAATGTTAAAATAATGACTACCTATATTGCTCAAGATTTATTTTATTGTGGTTGTTATTTAATTAAGTTATGTGCAACAAAAATTATAATTCAATACATATTTTTATAGCAAAAGTAACAATAGTTGGAAAATAGCTGGTACGATTTCATGATACCTTTATGTGACAAATTACTATTAGATCAACCGGTACAGGAACTTATATCAATAGTCGATTTAGGGATCGCGTACGCATTGAAGTTCCGCTGCGGAACTTAGCGGTTGTGGTTGCGTTAGCGCTGGATAGTTGCATAACAAACGTCTCGTGACAGCGTTCTTAACTCCCAGTATTGGAGGAGATGTCACCGCGTTACGACCTCGCTGGTACAATGAACATGTGTGAATTACGACGAATTTTATAATAGTTTAAAACTATGTGCTGTGCTCGCGAATGACAGGGCGATGGCAAATTATTTTAGATGGAAAAAGGGGAAAAGGGATGAGGATGTTTTTTACTCAGAAAAACCGAGAAGTCGGTCTCTGGATCCTCGTTCCTTAGAACTGAGCGGAATTAGAGTATTCGCTCAAAATCATCAAAGTAAACAGGTATAGAGCTTTATTTGAAAACTGTTATACTATATTAGTCATAAAATATATTTTTATTGTCATCTCATTTATCATCATAGAAATATGAAGATTTAAATACAAGTGCTAACAGTATGACGAAATTATGGACGCTTGTACGAGAAATCAAGTTAATGTGACCTAAACACGAATGTTTGTTCCAAAAATATTCTAAATGCATATATTCTTTCTTAAATTACCAGTTATTCATGAGCGTCGTTGTACACTAAGTTAGTATTCATATATTAAATAAAACCTCTACAGTAATGTTACTTTAACCAACCGTAATAAGCTACTTGAAAATTTACCAAATCATCGTTATCAATGATAATTAATTTGTACTGATAAAGAATAATAAATAGATTACGCTACACTGGTATAAATAAATACGTTTTAGTCTCTCATGTTGCGACATACATATATACGTACTTTGATATAGAAATATTTTTGCCATATTTGAAAACATTTGTTTATCTCGCTTATCAATTATCTTGATGGATGATTTTACCTTCGGAGCAGCAACCTAATATATCTCAAATGACAATAACCTTCTAATGATATTAGAAAATCCAGGAAAAAGAGGATTAATTCCAAATTCTTAAACTTCTATTATTGTAAAATATTGATTTGTCGTGTATATTTGTATTGTATCTGGAATATTTATAAGTTATTTTTGATTACAGAGTAGTTTTTTTGGTTTTCCATAAATTAGATACAGTAAAATCCGTGTAGAATTTTATGAATGTTCTAAATCTCTGCACGTCAATTTTAAAAGTTCAAATGCACATTCAAATAAGAAAGAATACAAATATGAGCCTACTTTTTTTGCTTGTATACTTTGTCATACATCTTCAAAGAATGAAATGAATCTCTATTCTCTTAAAGACGTTTGTTTCCACAACCTGCATATATTTTAAAGACAATCTTATGCAAAGTACACTAGACTAGTTTTCCATCTACCACAAAGCAGTGTATAGTTTGTATAGAACAATAGAAGTCACAAAGCATATTTGCTATATACATTATATTAATGGGTTAAGTGTAGTAGCGAGACCTTCGTTAGATAAGCACCAGTCACGTTTAAGTTCAGTATCATTAATACTCGTTTGCATCTTAAAGTTACAAACATTGGACGTCAAACAATTCTCATGATTTTGGTATGAAAAACGTAAAATATACCACCTTTGTGAGGAAGTTCAATCTTGTATTGTGAGCCACTTTCTTGCACTTTTATTATCACATCTCATTATTGCAATACATATGTCGCTAATTGACAATATTTGTAGTGTTGCATCGTTAATTATTTTGTTGTCTGATGTAAGTGGTGACTAAGCTTATGTATGTGGTGTATGAATAGTTATGAAGAATTTGTAATAATCTCGAAAGACAAGATTGTTGAAAATATAGGTTTAATAAGAAAATAAATTACCTAGTCTAAAATCATGAAAATTTTGCATTTAATTATGTAATGAATTCAATTTATTTGAGTTAATTCTTTTACTGGGCACTGGGAGTTTGACATAAAAAGTTAAAATATTGCACTTAAGTTAACAGTAACACCAAAGTTAACAGTAAAAGAAAAAAAAAAAAACTAGAAACTGCCGTAAACCAAACCTACATTTCGAGATTATGAGCAAGAAAGACATCTGTGTAATATGTAACTTCAAACAATTTCAAGAATTTCAGCTACAACGTATGTTCAAAACATTGTATACATAAAAGCCTTGAATATAGCGGCCAGTGATTACATTTAAAACTGTTTGCTTTTGATTCAGTCATAGCGAACAATAAGTAATGATACTTTGACAGAAATGTACGATTTTATTACCTTCCTTTTCCGCTTTTAGCTACCGTCATATTTACTTCTATAATGTTAGGTTTCTTGGCTGATACCATGTTTTTGTCCTTTGTTTAAATCTGCCTTTGTTCCCAGCACTCATTATTTTTAATTTTCTTGTTTTTTTATTTCTCAAGGATATACTTAATGTTAAAGTTTGTGACTTTTGAATTTTCTCTCCTTGCTTTATTAAATAGGGGATTGATGCTGAGTTATTAGGAACTAAATACTGTAAGTTTTTGTCCATGAAAAGTTTTTAGCGACTTGTTATATCTTGATTAATATGAAGAGCATCATTGATACTTCGACATTAAGTGACTATTTACACATTTAAAAAAATAATTATAATCAGTATATTTTTATTAATATCCGTATAAAAGTGAATGTATCTTACCTCTATTAGTTCTTGAAATGGAAAAATTTTGACGATTATTAAGTAACTATGATATACAAAGTTTCAGAACGTAAAATTGTAAGAGAAATGGAATCCGGAGAAGTTAGTTAGTCTCATGATTACCTGATGATCAATAGAACTTAGTATCTAGGTCAGATTTGTATTAAAATATTTAATTTAGGCATTAAATCTCCAAATTTATTCTCGATCTAATTTTTTAACTCAACCAATAAGTTCAAATACTCATGGAATGTGATCTGATATTTCTTGTGATTTTGCCAGTTTTACTTAAAAATATTTGTTTTAAATTAAATGTACGTATTATTCGATACAAAAATATAATTGCAAACATAATTTAATACGTGCCTGTTTTATTCTTGTTAGGATTATTATCATTCCCTTGTTATTCATTTTTTTCTCGTATACAAACAACGCAGTTCGTGTTTTTGCTTAGATAGAATTTGTTTCTAATTGCATTTATTTTAATCAGAATAACGTAAAATTCAGTTTTTAATCTGAAAATGTGTATTCGAAAATATTTTCTTGTTAAATCTTTCGTAACTTAAATATAAATCAAAATATTTTGTTAAAATAATACGAATATATATTTGTTGCAAAGTCATATCCCTTCGATATAAACATACGTTTGATAGTTTTACAAAATACGTTTAAAAATACTCCACGGTACGTGTTGTGCTTGCTATGTGTTATATGTAATTATTATTTCACGATTATTTAGTATGTACGATAAAGTAAACATAGGTGCGACTGGAATATTAACATAATGTATTAACATCACCACTTATAACTTTATTTGAGAATTGTATTATTTTTTTACAAACTATCCTATTGTATTTGAGGAAGTTAAAGGTGCAACACAGCTCATAACAGACTAATAATTGTTTGTTAAAGCTGTTCCCTACTTAGGCTGAGAGAGTTCAGTAATAGAATTTCTATACAGTGAAGATGTGACAGATATCATGGAATTGAACCATGCCTTCTCTGACTACTTAAGTATGAGATATGATAAAACATTTTTATTTTCACTTATCTTAATTTAATAAGTTTTATAGCAATTGGGTCGGTCTCGTTCATTATTGCAATCAATTTCTTTATTTTATTATTAAATTGTTTCGTTTGGTACTCTGAAGTGGTCGTTAAAATTTCTTTTCGTCTCATTAATATATCTGAAGAATGTTCAATGATTTTTTTTGCTTGGTTATTAAATAACTAATTTTCCTTATGCACACATTTGTAGAGTCACACAAAGCGCACATGTTTTTTAATAGAATAATTTTTTTAAATAATTTTTGCACATTTTTTTAATGGTTTCTTCAATGGATATTTATTTTATTTTCATTTTCAGAGAGCTTTGGCGCAACAACAGCATCATGGAGCAGGTAAGATTTATACATATTTAAAATAATGCATGTTTTAAAGTTTCGTATATGCTCGTAACGTTTGTCGTTAAGTAATGTTCGTTCGTTATTTTATAAATCTAAGTTAATCCAATATCAAATTGATTGAAATTCTTATTTTTAAAAGATATTAACAACATATTACAAAACAAATATGAAATGTTGTCCTGGTGTAAATGGCGACGTTTGTAACTTAAATTGACTGTTGTAATAACACATGAAGGCCATTGTTGCATATTTATTTTTTCCGTAAATTTTAAATCAGGGTTGAAAATTGTTTTTTTTATAAAATAATGATTTATCTAAGTTTTCAAAATTATATATATCTATGTTGTAACAAATAAATAAATTTACGGATATATATAGATAATTCTGTGTGAAGGTTGTTTAGGTACAAAAATATTTCATGTCAGTACCAGTATTTTGATTTAGCTCATTTTAATTTAAAATAAGAGACACATTGTTCAATTGTCAACAGAAAAAATATTTGAGGTCACTAAAAATAACTGAATTCAGAACTGTAGATGTGCGCCGATTACTTTGGGTTCGATGATCTTTTTGAATGTAATGTCAGAATTAGCTACTGAAATATTATTTAGGTTGTGAAAACTTTGGTAATTGATTTATGTGTCCTCGTGAACTGTAAGTATTATTTCTGTTCCATTTCTTTGGTTGCCCACTGAGATAACAAATTGGTACATAACACATTTAAAAATTTGTGTTAAATAGAAAATAAAATATACTTCTGGAAATATTTTATATATATATATGTATATTTAAATGAATATTACATCAAATTAAAATATTCCTGTGACTTTCTTTTAAATTTTATCAGGAATTAGTTTTCGTCCGCAACGACCACGGAAAACTTTTAATTGACGTCTTTTATATTTTAACGAATTCTCCTTTGTTAAAGGTTAACAAAAATAGTATTTCAAATACATTTTAATAGGATCTCAAATAATTTATATTATTTGATCGTGCTGTACGTTTTCATCTATGTGTCTTGGCAACTTTCAGTAGCTACTAACTCAAGGCTTTCCAAGTTTTGTAACAGTCGGGCTTAACGGATGAATCGGAATTTTCGACGGGCCACTTATTACTAATGCTAAAAATAAAACAATGAATAAAATTTAGTGTTTTTTATATCATAAAACAAAGAGCATCTTTTGCTAACTAATAAAAAAATAGAAATTGTATCTTATCTTAATAAGATTTATGTAAATTTTTTAGTTGAACTTTTTTTCCTATATTAGGATTGAAGTCAAATTTTGACAAGAACACCAAGTCGTATACATTTATGTTGGTCCGTTATGATGTACGGTATTTGTTTTTTATGTAATTAACAACATCCGAAACAACTTTTCACACACATTGATCTGAAACTACATAAAAACTATAAGGTCCGTTATAGTAGGAAAGTTTTCTCCTGGCACCAATTTACAAAAATCCGCATACTTTTTGTCGAATTTTGTGTCCTCGACAATGTTTTTCCAAAAAAAGGTTTTTTAACCCACAATGATTTTGCAGGATAAGTATTTATTTAAGTTGAACTGATTGCCAAAGAATATATAAATATTTGAATACTTGGTTTTTAGACTCAAACTCCTGAAATCTATTTTAAAATTAATTTTAATTTAACTTTAGATTTGAAGCCGCTTATTTAAGTCGGAAGTGAACCGTCTTTGCTTTGATATTTGCGGTTTAAAACATTGAGGATATTTTTAACATCAACTACGAAAGCGAGATCACTTTACCAAGAAAAATTCTTCGGTAAAGGAGTTTCCAAAAGTAATGCCCTATTTTTCTAAAAACTCCAACACTTCTCTCAATTAGAAGAACTATTTCAACATGTCGCCCCCTGGTAGCCATCACACAGCGCAGTATAGTTGTAACCCTTTAAATTCGTTGATTTCTTATTCAAATAAAACAGTGAAGCGCTTTTTGTACGTATGGTACGTGCAAAAAGCGCTAATTTCATATACTTCGTATATAAGACTTCGAGGTGTATAATGCAATGATAAGAAAATATATTAGGACTCCAAAAATTCTGCAACAGAACTACGCAGTCATTGTTTTTTCATGTCATTGCAGCTATACTACTGGTGCAAAGTGATATCATTTTATACCAAGATAAACCTTTTTTTTTCATTGCATTCGTTTATTTTAGAAAACCTGTTTTTTCCTTTGGTTTTAATTTTTAATTCCTGCAATACATCATTCATTGATTAACACACTGCTCAAAATAGCCCACTGAGAACTACTAGTTAAATCGTTCATCTAACGCCAATGACAATTATTTGCAATTTGTTACGATTTCTTGAATTTGACCTCTCTTATCAACCGCCATTTCCGATACCCATCTCGTAACAATGTGTCGTGACAGTGAAATACTGTCGACTTGAGTTTTAACATTTTTATCGTCACAATTTTTAAATCCATTTTCACAATTTCTCCATTAGATATAGGTTTCGTCTTTTTTGCTAAAAGCAAAGAAATTTCGTAAAAGACTTTAGAAGACATAGATTCAAGCTCGTTCCGAATTTTAACGAATATGTTTTATGGATAATAGTCCGGTCAATTTAGACCAAAAAATGAGAGTGAAGTTACATAAAGTCCCACCAAGCTGAATTTTTGTGAAATTGTTCAAAACATATGTAAGTATAAACGATGTCTAGAAGTTCCCCATCATTCCCCTGTAAGGAAAATTTTTTATTCTAGGTCAAAGGTAAAAAAAATGTGTTTTTCGCGATTTTCACCAAAACGGTAAGTTTTATCATAAAAGTACCTCAGACAAAAATTATAGATTATAAAATTATCTATAACAAATGTATCAATACTTCTTTTCTTACGAGCCACCGTTTCTGAGATATAACGATTCAAAAAGTTATAAAATTTGTTATCGTCATAATATGCATGAGTACGGCACGTATGTACATTTAGAGTTGTTATATTTTATATATATAACAGTCAGTGGTGGCCTAGTGGTTAAAAGGCCCGCCTCTCATGCACGAGGGTGAGGGTTCGATCCTGGCCCGGGCAAGTACCAATGTGATTTTTCCGAGTTATATGTACTTTCTAAGAGTATTTAGACATCACTGATTAATGCTGATTCCCAAAAGAGGGTTGATGTCAGGCAAGAGTCCAGTCGTAAAAATAAATAGCTAAAACTATTCACAACATGTAAGGCAGACCCTGGCTATAGCTGGGAAATTGCCAGGTAGAAGAAGAAGATTTATATATATATGTATATATAAATATTGATTTATTTGTCTAAACTTTTAACTGAAAGTGAAGTTGTAACTGTTGAACGTGGTATTAATTAATGCGAGTATCGAAAGAGCTGATGATTTTTCGGAATATCTCAAAAATCAGAAATCTGTGACAATATATAAAAATTGCCTTCGTGGGCGGTGTGTTCAAAGAATTTTATTGTAGGTAGATAGGTATTACTAGAAAGTTATTTAACAAATTCTCCTTAAACATGATAGACGTACCTACTCTATTCTACTTTTGCGACATATTTGAGCTATCCTAAGATAATACATACATATAAGCTTTCAACACGATACAGCACTTGACCTTGATTTTCAATTCCGTCCCTTCAATTGCTTGGGAGTGAAGTTAATGATACTTTCTAAAATCTCTCTTTTACTCAAGTATAGGTGTTCCACAGTATCTAAAATTGCACTAATGTTGTATATCGCGTCCTAGCAGATGGTTAATGAAGTATAATAGAGAATTAGTCCGCGATATTGAAATACCAAGTAGTGAAAGAAAGAAAGTTTTTATCTGTTGATACATCAGATACTGTTTTGATGATTATAACCGGTATAATAAACCCAATCAAAGTTGTATGCATCACTAGCGAAGCTCTAATTTTTCTATCGTTTCAGAATAATAATAAGTACAAAACATACTGTACATAAGTTAAAAAGTACAAAACATACTATCGTACCATGTGTTGTTGCGAATTGGTCTTAATTTTATACAAATGTTATGTATTTAAAATTACTAAAGTGTTTTTTTAACCCATTTTATGGGTTTTATTGAAAGAAGCGAATAAACTTAATAATCCTTTATTAATTTCGAAAATGATTTGTTAATGTTTTTTATTAAAGACTTGTTTTTGCCCACGACTTCGTCTGCGTTAGTTTCAGTATTAGAAATGTATATCTGAGTGAGTGAACTCTATTCCTTCTTAATGACTTCTTTTCGGTATCGTAACGTAATTAATCAAAGTGAGAAAATTTCAAGCTCACTTAACAGTAACTTAATAATAAAGTGCCACACAAAATATCAACAAGAAAAGATCACACTACTTGGAATGTCACTATCACAAAGGATCACAAAGTAAAGAAAATTCTCGCTCACGTAGCGGTAATCGTCACTCACAAAGATAGATGGATGCACTCATAGAATATCGTAACTATAGTCCTAACACAATATCGTCAATCGTAATACTTTTTTCTTTGTTCTGATCTATTATTTATATTTTTGGAGTTAACCTTTAATCTCTGGATCTCCGTGTTCTGAAGTGCAACAGAATGATTGACTTATTAGTATATTGTCAAATCTGTCACAAAAACGTTTGTAGGGGAAATAGAAAAGGGCTGTTTTTTTTATTTTCCCGGAAGTGATTCATATTTTTTTCAGCTTTTATACCTTCCCTAAACCTCCACGAACATTGCAAGCCTAAGATAAGATAAATCCGTTCAGCCGTTCCCGAGTTTCAGTGAGACTAACCAACAGCAATTCATTTTTATATATATAGATTAACGACCGTCAATTGTGATTTTGAATAATTCAATAATTAAAATAAAGTGGACCCTGAAGAAAGAATGAATACCTTCATAAAAAGGATTAATGTATTTGAATTCTTATTGGAATTTGTTTCTGGATTTTGGGCCAATTATGGCTGCCATAAACAAACGCAAAATGCGAAACATTACATATGTAGCTAATTTTTATTCACTTTTGAT